CGGGGAGGGGCCGCCTCTGAGCCGGGCCATCCCCCAGCTCCCCACGCGGCTCTAATCCGCCATCACCCCGCCAGCTGGACCTGACACCACGCCCTGCTTAGCTCTTTTTTTAAAGTTTATTTTTATTTTTTTATTGATTTCAGAGAGGAAGGGAGAGGGAGAGACAGAAAGAAACATTAATGATAAGAGAGAATCATGGATCAGCTGCCTCCTGCAGGCCCCACACTGGCAGCCCGCGCATGTGTCCTGACCAGGAATAGAACCGTGGCCTCCTGGTTCATAGGTCGACGCTCAACCACTGAGCCCCGCCCGCCCGGCTGCCTGCTCCTCTCGGGAGGAAACAGGCTCCCCCGCCACCTGCTGGGCCGCTCCGCCTGGCGGGGCTCCTGGCTCTGAACAGACCTTCCTGATGGGCGCGCAGGGCTGGCCGGCGGGTGCTGGCGCTGGGACCTCTGCAGGGAGGTGGTGCCCTAGGCCAGTGGTCGCAAACCACGGCTTGCGAGCCACATGCGACTCTTTGGCCCCTTGAGTATGGCCCTTCCACAAAATACCGGCTCTTTCACAAAATACTGGCTCTTCCACAAAATACCGACTTCTGTGCATGGGCCACGAAATTTCAGTTGCACTGTACGTGCACGCCCGCACGTGGTATTTTGTGGAAGAGCCACACTCAACGGGCCAAAGAGCTGCATGTGGCTCTCGAGCCGTGGTTTGCCGACCACAGCCCTAGGCTGCCGGGGAACGCGGCGTTTTTAAGGGAAACCCATTTCCTGGTTCGCTGGAGGAGTGTGGGCTGTTCTCCGAGCGTGAGCCTGGCCTCCCCGAGTGACAGTCTCATGGTCGTCGTTAGCCCTGTGTGTCTGGGTCTCAGGTTGAGTGGTTTTCGTGGCCCCAGTTTTGTTTTCCAAACACAGGTGGTGGGAGAGCGTCGGGACCTTGGCTGTTCTCACTGATGAGAAGGCGTCTTGTCCTGGGGGGACCAGGCCCGATGTTGGAGGTGCCCGACCCCGGGGGGAGGTATCACAGGCTCTCCTGGGCCCTGAGCCCGCCCACAGAGGTCTGCTAAGGTGCATCGTGCCTGGGGGGTACCCACAGCCGCACCGGGTCCTCCGGGAGTCCCTGGCCCGGAGGCTTGGGGGACCCTGAGCACTGGACCCGCTCGGCCTCCTCCCTGAGCTCAGCCCTGGGCATGTCCCTCCCAGCCCCCTGGCTCCGCCTATTCTCCACTCTCTGACCTGTGAGCTCTGAGGACGCTGGAGGGCGACTGGCGTTCTCGGGGCTCTGACCGTTCTCGGGCTCTGACCGAGACCCACATCACCGATCACAGCCGGGGGCTGTGTCCTCCACTGAGAGCCAGACGGTCTCCTTCCCTGGGGGCAGGGGCACTGCCTGACCTTCCCCTTCCTCCCAGCTCCACCCCAAGGTCCTGTTTCCAGGAAATAAGGAAGGAGACGGGCAGGGTGCTCATGGCCAGGGCAGCGGCGTAGAGACCCCGGCTGCCATTCTCCTCCGGCCGCGGGGTCCCCCGTCTCTGCTCCTCCATCTGCGGGGTCCCCAGTCTCTACTCCTCCATCTATGGAGTCCCCCGTCTCTGCTCCTCCATCTGCGGGGTCCCCAGTCTCTACTCCATCTATGGGGTCCCCCGTCTCTGCTCCTCCATCTGCGGGGTCCCCCGTCTCTGCTCCTCCATCTATGGGGTCCCCCGTCTCTGCTCCTCCATCTGCGGGGTCCCCCGTCTCTACTCCTCCATCTGCGGGGTCCCCCGTCTCTACTCCTCCATCTGCGAGGTCCCCCGTCTCTGCTCCTCTGGCCTCGGGGTCCTCGGCCACCCCCCCTGTAAAGCGGGAGGCAGACCTGTCACCTGACGTTGTCGTGAGCCTGGAAGGCACGCTGTGCCCGAGGTGCTGGCTCAGAGGCGCACGGCACCCAGAGCTGAAAAGCCAGTTGTTGGATATGGAGCCAGGAGCCCGGACCGGATGCCGGGGGTGGGGGGCTCGGGGGCCACTCTGGAAGCCGGTCCTGTCTCCCCATCCGCGAAGTCTGAACGCAGGGGGGCCTGTGTCCACACATTTCCTGTCTCAGTGGCTCCCAAAAGTGGGCGGCGCCGAATCCCAGCCCCCGGAAAGCACAGAGGGAGAGGACTTGTGCAACCCCGCGCTGGGCGGGCCTGGTTCTGGGGGAAGGCTTTCCGGGGGCACAGGCCGTGGTGGGCGGGCCTGGTTCTGGGGGAAGGCTTTCCGGGGGCACAGGCCGTGGTGGGCGGGCCTGGTTCTGGGGGAAGGCTTTCCGGGGGCACAGGCCGTGGTGGGCGGGCCTGGTTCTGGGGGAAGGCTTTCCGGGGGCGCATGTGGAGGGCAGACTGGGAGGAGGCGAGAGGGGAGGGAGCAGCATGTGTGAGGCCTGCACAAGGGGGACCTTGCTCTTCCGGGTGCCAAGGGGGGCAGGTGGGTGCTCGCGGCAGAAAGCTCAGGGCCGTAGGCGCCATGCGGGGTGCTGCGTGTTTTTAAATACATACTTTTTCATTGATTTCAGAGAGGAAGGGGAGGGAGAGGGAGATAGAGCATCAATGATGAGAGAGGATCATGGATCGGCTGCCTCCTGCACACCCCACACTGGGGATCGGGCCACAACCTGGGCATTGAACCCTGACCAGGAATCGAACCCTGACCTCCTGGTTCAAGGTCAGCGCTCAACCACTGAGCCAGGCGCCAGGCTCTTCTCTGTCTGGACCTTTCCATGTGTGGAATGTGGGACACCCCTTCCTCCGCCCACCTCTGAGTCACGGCCCGAGAGCTCGGCCTCTGAAACCTCGCACAGCTGTGCCCGGCGCCCTCTCTGGGGAGCAGCTGTGCCCGGCGCCCTGTCCGGGGAGCCCCTGTGCCCGCTCCCTCTCTGGGGACCAGCTGTGCCCGCTCCCTGTCCGTGGAGCAGCTGTGCCTGCTCCCTCTCTGGGGACCAGCTGTGCCCGCTCCCTGTCCGGGGAGTAGCTGTGCCCGGTGCCGTCTCTGGGGAGCAGGCGAGGCTGGTCCCCGCCCGGCGATGCCGTGAGGGGTACATGCATTATTGATGGCCCGCAGGCTAGCACCACGTAGCCAAGGGCTTCATTTTTGTTTCTGCAAATGGAAAGGGAAACGTATATCACGGATGGGAATAAAGCAGAACAATTAACACATGATGACGCAGCGTCAGGCTTTTAACAAGGAATAAGGAGGATTCATGTGTGTGCTCATCACGCAAGAGTGTGTCCCGAACGCCCCCCCTAAGCGCTGTATTCACCACGTGGCCTGAGCCACGAGCGGTGGTGGCCTCGTCGAAACCCCAGTTGCGCCCTTTCCCCATTTTTAAATGACCGTTTCATGTTGTGAGTGGTACACAGGCAGGGGCCGCACAGAGAGATGGGGACGTGCATGGAGGTGAGACACGTGTCCACCGCCCACCATCCAGCGGTCATTACTGCTGATTCTTGCTGCATCTTTCTCGGCTGTGGTATGGTCTGTTGCTGTGATGTCCCTCTCTTAAAAACAAGTTTTCTAAACAAACTAGAGGCCTGGTGCACGAAATTCATGCACGGTTAGGGTCCCTAGGCCTGGCCAGCGATCAGCGTCGATTGGGGCCTCCCGGCTGCCGGTCGGGCCTCCCTTCCCTGGCTGTCGGCTGCTGGCCAGGGCCTTCCTTCGTTCTGCGCCGCCTGCTGGTGGTCAGTGCACGTCATAGTGAGCGATCGAACTCCCGGTCTCCCGGTCGAACTCCCGAGGGGACACTTTGCATATTAGCCATATATATATTTTGGAGTTTGTTTTCTAACAAACCTGTATTGAACATTTTGTCATATCATATTACATTCTTGTACAGTGTACCTAACCGGTACTGGTTTCACAGTGTTTGAAGTCACAATCGTGTATTGAAACTGTCTCTTACTGACCTGCGGCCGGGCTATCTCAGGGCATCTCTGAACCTCTCACCGAGCTTGCGTGTGGGGTGATTTCCTGAGGGTAGATTCCTGGAAATGGATGCCCACCTCTGACACCTGAGGCGTGAGTGCCCCGGGCAGGGCTGCTCTGGGGGAATCTAACCTGTTGAGGGCTGGCTCCCTCCTTGTGGGTCCTCTAACCAGAGCCGGTGGGAGCGGGAAGGGGGAGCGGGGAGAGGGTGGGGGGGGTGTTGGGCACGCCCCTTGCGTCTGCTCCGACGCCTGCCCCGTAAGCTTCTCAGAGCTGCGACCCTCTGGGACGCTCTGTTTTCTCAGCTGCAGTGTTTTGAGGGCTGAGGGAGGTGCCCTCCCCAGGTCATGCAGAGCCCAGGTCCTGACGTTTAGGAAGTGCTCGTTGTTACTATCAGACACCGTGGGCCTGTGTAAAACGGGCTCTCGTGTGTAACAAGTGCATGTAGACACGTGCGTGTAATGCACACCCCTGTGCACACTTCTGCAGAGAATAAAGCGCCCAGACAAAGGCAGGTGGCGCCTCACTGAACGCCCGGAGGAGGTGGAAGTGTTCAGACTGGTTGTCGGAGTGGGTGAGGCGTTGGGGTGTTAGAACCCCCTGCAGGGGCTGGGGGGCGGGGGGCTGAGAAGGGAGAGTGTGGCTGGAAAGAAGGTGGAACAGACAGGAAGGTCATGCGCGGACTCGAGGGCTCCTCTTGCTGACAGCCTCCTGCCTCGCAGTGGCCGGGGCCGCGGGGTTGGTGGGACGGGCGTTCTGGCTGATTTAGTTTGTCCTGATGTTGCCCCCGCACGTCCTCCGTGTGATGGACCAAGGACCAGAGCTGGGGCTGCATTCACCCTGGAGCCTGGGGACCGCCTGCTGGGGGTGGGGGTGACTCGACGTCCATGGTGACCCAGAGGTGCTGCTCGCTCCAATCTCGACCCGAGAAACGGCCCCTGTGGGGAGCACATTGGGGCTCTTTCTTCCAGAAACATTTCCTCTGTTTTCTTTTTATTTCTTTTTTAAATATGTTTTTACTAGAGGCCCGGTGCACAAAAATTTGTGCACTTGGCAGGGGGGGTCCCTCAGCCTGGCCTGTGCCCTCTCACAGACTGGGACCCCTCCGGGGATGTCCACCTGCTGGCTTAGGCCCGCTCCCTGGGGGGATTGGGCCTAAGCTGGCAGTCAGACATCCCTCTGGCA